ATCTGAAAGTCCATCGCCAAGGCAAGTGGAGGGCATAAGAGTGAGGGGGAGTGGAGTGGAGTGGAGTGGAGTGGAGGGGAGCGGAATGGGGTGGAGTGGAGTGGAGTGGAGGGGAGGTCAATGGATGCAATGACCCCTTCGAGGTTGGCAGCGCCAACTTGAGGCTAATGCAAACAAGTTTCACGCTCTCGAAGACTTTAGCATAAAAAAGCACTTTTTGTACAAATTCTACAGCTTTAATTTTTCTCTTTTAGAGCTGACTGCTGTGCATGTCACATCAAATATCAACATGATCTCCGTAGATGTACTTCACGACACTACGGCTAGTTGACAGTGCTTCAAGTATAATTTTTTTAACAAGAAATGATAAAAAATTTCAACGTAGACAAAATTTCCATCCCTAAAACTTACTTACTCTTTAGAATCATTTTAAATCTCAAAATGAAAAAATTACCTAGTATTTGTATCATTTGCATTTTTGTCAAATGAAATATCATTATTTTCTGTCAGATTTTGACAATCATGATCCTCATTTCTGCGTTTGCAAGTGCTTTCCAAACAACCATATCTGTCCACCTTGTCTTCTCCTCATCATTCTTTGCCTTCTTCTTCTGCTTCTAGTGGAAACCTCTTTTACTTCTCCATTCGCTTGGATCAATCCAGCTCTTCCCCTTTTAGTATTTAATTAATGCATTTGTTTCGTGGTAGGAGTCTTCTGCTAAAACCACTAATAACTACCTAAGATCAGTTTTAAATCCATCCGAATTAACAGTAGAGATAATCTTCACCGTCATACCGTAAAAACTTTGGACTTCTTTCTGATTGGCTATCTAATATGCGACACTCAGGTATGACCTTCAAGGAAACCAATCAGCCAAGGCGACAGCAGATTATAACGACTTTTACTCATTACTCGTCTCAACAACACGCCTACACCGAAAATCATCTAAGACAATCAGTGCAGCATACACCTATACAAAGTGTGGTTCGAGATCATTGCTTTCTTTGGAGAGAAATAAATTAAACAAAACCTTTTGCATCGCAATAAATTGTCCCAGGAGCACCGCGCCAACTTAGCCGGCTAGTTAAAACAATAGGTGCAATGATACACTGTCGCCATCACGGATTATTAGGCATAAATATATATACACAAACACATAACACCGGTGTGTGTGTGTGCGCATATTTCGTCGTTGCAGTGGTGACTTCAAGGCATAAACAAATGCCTTTCAAATTCGGTAGAACCAGTCTCCACTTAGCCCTTCGTCCCCCACATCTTTTACTCCCCTTTAAATAGAGTTCCCACTGATCTGGCTATTTCGCTTTCAGGTGGAAAGAATAAGAAAAGGACTAACTAAATATCAATTGTGCCATTAAGTTCTCGCCCCCCCACCCCCCTCCTTCCTTTCTTTCTTTCAATAGAACATTTGACGTGAATGAAGAGATGATAATGCCATCTGGTGCGGGTCTCTCAACTCCTTTTTTGGCTTGTAAAATGCGAGTAATATATTTTTTCATAAAGTAGCTCGTTGGTACCTGTCGAGGGACGGGAGCCACTCGCTACGCAGACCATCTGACAAGTTATCACGTGAAGCACAGTGAGGTATTGGAGACTCATGTTAATTCTCTGACAGGGTCTCAGTAAGGATTTGTAAGGAAAGGTGTGTGCATTGTAAGCGGAAATAACATAAACATGCTGTCATAACCTCGTAGTGACACCCCAACGCGTTCTGTTAACTAAACATTCCAACCTGTGTGCCTTTTTGCCCATCTCCCTGTGCGGTGCCGTGGTCACCGCCAACTGTCATTGTTCTGTAGTGGTGACCGCATACACCGAGGCCGTTTCGGTCATGCAAAACGCATTGTGGCGGTTCAACAAATCCCTTACAGTGGTTTGTTCATCCCTTCTTTGTCCTATGAGCCGACGGTCCTGGACTCTGCAAAATGAAACTATTCTGTGTTCATCATCATAAGCACCAAATTCCCATCAGATATAGCAACATTGTTGGTACTTTAATGGATTTCTGTGAGTTTTCCAGATTTATCCTCTGCATGACCTGAAGTGTGAGGGGATCACTTCCCTTTCAGAGATCAGTTTTAATGCCTTGAACCACTTTGAGGAAGAGGAGACTAATCGGCTAAGAAAATACGGAGATTTTGGGAGTGTTACATTTAATCAGCTCAGGAATCAAAATTTTTCAGCCCGGTTTCACATTTTTTTCCCCTTTTTATCACATTTTATAGATCAGGTCATATTTTTAGGTATATTTGCATTAGAAAATACGCAAACTCCAAGTACTTAGGAGTAAGGACTAATAAGCGCCTTATTTTAGTGCCGAAAATTCAGAGTTTTAATCTTAGAGTCTAAAAAATTGCATGTTTTAAGATTTAAATGGAGTTATTTTTTTAATCTCTCTCAGCGTCGGCAGCCTCCTTCAAATAGTGGAATACAGAGTCACTTTCATTCTTCACTTTTCAAAGGCTAAATATGACATTCTGGAAGGAAGGGGTGCCTTTTGTGCGTTTAATAACTCAAAATCCCATTGCTAAAGTGGACTATGATGGTATTGGTGCAATAAAATTAGCCAATTTGGCCACAAAATTTCAAGCTGCGTCACTTGATTGGTGCATTTGAAGGTCACCCATATGCACGCACATGCGCGCATGCATGCGTGCGCGTACGTGCGTGCATATACACACACATGCACGTCGTCATAACACCGCATTGTGCCATTTCACCTGCGTGTGTAACGAGTGTGCGCACGTGTGTGTATGCATGTGCAGCAGCGTTTGTGTTTGCATTTGTGCGTGCGGTTCCATATCAATTTCTCATTTACACATCCACACACACACATACAAACACACACGTACATACATATTTACACACATACATACGGGAAGCGATAGCCTGTGAATGTATATGTGCAGAGTCTCTTGTACCTGTCGCCAATACCTCCGATTTGGTATGGAACCAGCCTAGCTAAAAGCCTATTTCGTTAAACACGCACACAATTACCGATGGAAGTATTCGTCGCCTCGGAGAGTCATCCCATACCCTCCAAGTCCTCAACCAGTATGGACCTCACCTACGTTGCGGACTCCAGTGATGGCAGCAGCAGTGAGGGGCGTGAATTATCAACGCAGAATGCGAACCCCTACACCCGCCCTCGACGATCAATGGAAGAACAACTGAGATTGCGTAAGTGGAAGTGTGCAAAATACGTGTTTTGAAAACAAATCGCCTTTCTTGCCTGTCTGTCTGCCTCCGTCCGTCTGTCTGACCGTGTGGGTCGATCTACCACGACCACAAGTGCCGCCACCAAGTCTTGTTCCCACTCTCTCTCTCTCCGCCGCTATGAAAATAATTTAAGGAATAAGACATTGAAAAAAATGGCGGTTGATTTGAAAAGACAAAACAACTGTGTAGAAAGGGTTGAAAATTTTCCCTGCAAGAGACGAGTGAAGAGCTTTACCCGTCGATTTCTGTCAGCTCAGTAGGTTTGGGTGAAGACCAGATCGTCCATTTATACTTTTCCCCTCTTTATCCTCCCCAATTTGTAGGTTAGACCAAAAAAAGTTATCAAATTTTCCTACTTTTTAAGAACTTCTTAGCCGGTTAAAGTGTATTATCTCTCACAGACCCCTCGCTCCGGTGTTGTAAGGCTAATTCCTCAAAGAGGACGCAAGGCAAGGCAGTTATTTAGAAACAACCACCGAAAATTCCCTTTTTAATTTATCTTATTTTCCATAAAATAAGTCAAAACGACGAATTTTTTAATAAATAATCAGGAGGAAAGTACATAAGAAAAGAGCGGATGAAAAATATCCCTTTTTACCCAACAGATCGGTGGGAAGTTGGCCTTAATTTGCAAGAGCAGGCATGATTAATAACCACGGAAAAATGTAGGGAGCAAACTCTATTAACAAGAATTTTTCGTCTTGATTATACCCAAGAAACATTGGAAAATTTGGATAATTGTTTGTTTTGCTGTTGGCATTTTTTGACCTTAAAACCTGTGGTCCTGTCAGCGAGACACTGGAGGGATTGATTAGAACAAAGAGGAGCATTTGCTGGTTTAAAACAGGGGTATGGCGGGTTCACGTGTCATATGGAGGTACTGATTTGCAACAAAAGCTTTTTGCTTGTTTTTGTAGTTCCACGTGCACTTTTTGTTTTCGGGTGAAGTACATCGACATAGATCATGCCAATGTTTGATGTGACATGCACAGCAGTCAGCTCTAAAAGAGAAAAATTAAAGCTGTAGAATTTGTACAAAAAGTGCTTTTTTATGCTAAAGTCTTCGAGAGCGTGAAACTTGTTTGCATTAGCCTCAAGTTGGCGCTGCCAACCTCGAAGGGGTCATT